GGTTCTTAACCATTGTGCACCTTAAAAAGTTGTACACGGTCTAGCCAGAGCACAGGATAATTCAGAGGAATAACATGATATAAAAAAGCAAAAACATCTGTAGCTTAGACTTGTAGTACCTTCCATATTCGCCATGGCTTCTCGAAATTAACGATAGGCTTCTCTGTTCATGTCTGTAACATCATTTAGTGCCTTGAATTGTAATTCATTGAATGGCAGTGTGAAATTACCTGATAACACTTTGCACTCTTTCATATAACCTGGACTTTAATTGTTATTTCTTCTGCCCTTTCAGTCTGCAAATCATTCTCCTAAATGGAGAAGACTGAAGAAAGATAGAGTTGAATTTCTCTTGGTTCTCTATTGTGATTATTCTCTCTAAATTACCAGTATGTTTGTTTTTGCTTTGTTTTTCTTCATCAGAACATCCTCCTTTGTTATTTTCCTAAGCCTCTGATCATTGTGGACTTTAGTTGTCTAGCTAGCATTCATATAAGAGTGAGTAATCTTGTTGACCTTGATGATCTGATGATTCCATTTTAATGGAAGACTTTATGGGAACAGATCAAAGCTCTTTTGTGTTGCCATCTTGGCAAATCATTAGCATTTGAAGACCAAATGCAGTTGATCAAAGGAGATGGGGTAATACCCTGAGGTTTTGTGCTTAAGGGTCCAGGAAATGGTGGCATTGATGAGGCTGTTGAAAGTGAGAAAATGGCATTGGTTTGTAAGAGAAATGATCAGTTTCAGTTAAGGAGGTAATTTGTCAAGTAACTGGAAAGTAGGAAACTAGAGAAAAGTGAGAAATAATAACTAGATAGAGTTAGCAGTCATATGACTTTGATTATTTAACCACAAGTATAAAATACTAAGGGCTCACAGAGTCGAGAAATGTAAAATGTGACCATTGGGAAATACCCACAGTGAAAAATCAGGATTCTTGCTGAAGAACTAATGAAAGTGGGTCTTTCAGAAAAAAAAAAAAAAAAAAATTGGACTTGAAGACACAATGGATAAATAACCAACAAACCAAAAGTAGTTCTAAAAGTGTTTACTTGTGTTTTATTGACTATGCAAAGGCATTTGATTGTGTGGATCATGACAAATTATGGACAACATTGAGAAGAATGGGAATCCCCGAGCACTTGATTGTACTCATGAGGAATCTGTACCTTGACCAGGAGGCTGTCGTTCGAACAGAACAAGGGGACACTACATGGTTTAAAATCAAGAAGGGAGTGTGTCAGGGTTGTATTCTGTCTCCACACTTATTCAATCTATATGCTAAACAAATAATCCGAGAAGCTGGACTATATGAAGAAAAACGTGGTATCAGGATTGGAGGAAGAATCATTAACAACCTGAGATATGCAGACGATACAACTTTGCTTGCTGAAAGTGAGGATGACTTAAGGCACCTACTGATGAAGGTTGAAGAATACAGTCTGCAGTATGGATTACATCTCAACATAAAGAAAACAAAAATCCTCACAACTGGACCAATGAGCAGCATCACAATCAATGGAGAGAAGATTGAGGTTGTCAAAGAATTTACGTTGCTTGGTTCTACAATCAATGCCAACGGAAGCAGCAGTCAGAACATTAGACGACGTGTAGCATTGGGAAAATCAACTGCAAAGGAACTGTTTCAAGTGCTGAGGAGCAAGGATATCTCATTGAGGACTAAGGTGCACCTGACACAAGCCATGATATTTCCAATCACCTGGTATGCATGTGAGAGCTGGACAATGAATAAGGAAGACCGAAGAAGAGTTGATGCTTTTGAGTTGTGGTGCTGGCGAAGAATGCTGAAAGTACCATGGACTGCTAAAAGAACTAACAGATCTGTCCTGGAGGAAGTGCAGCCAGAATGCTCCTTGGAAGCAAGAATGGCCAGACTTCGTCTCACCTATTTTGGTCATGTTGTCAGAAGGGACCATTCCCTGGAGAAGGATGTCATGCTTGGTAGGGTGGAGGGTCGACGAAAGAGGGGGAGGCCTTCAACGAGATGGATTGACACGGTGGCTGCCATGATGGGCTCAAGTATAGCAGGGATTGTGGGGCTGGTGCGGGATCGGGCAGTATTTCGTTCTGCTGTGCATGGGGTTGCTATGAGTCGGAAACGACTCGACAGCACTTAACAACAACAACAACAATCATCACATCACCTGTTTATCAAACATTTGTGGCATTCAAGTCAATGCAGTGCTCCAAACCTCATCCAGATATTCAGAGTAGTATCAGCTATTCATGGGTGTAATAAGTGCATTTCTTTTCACTAGTTGAGATTCTTAGTGTGAGTATAGCTGAGAATGCTGTAAGATCTTGACTGAGAGAACTGAAGACTAACAATAAACAAACATTACTATTCTAAATGCTGAATTTAAGAATCCCTATTTCCCAAAAGAGATAGGGAGACAAGGGATACAGAGTACCAGTATGGCAGGTGGGATGCTGGTGGTAACCTTAAGTCTGCCTCTGACTAAGGTTGTGACCTAAGCAGATCACTTTACCTCTTTATTTTTCTGGGGGCAGCTTATCCAGAGAATGAAGAGGCTGGATTTTATCTTTAAGGATCTCTGACCTTTAAAATAATTGTACTTTTCTCATAGTAAAACTATCCTTTGCCTATTAGCTTTTTAAAAGTATAATACACTGGTTTGGGGAGTTTAAAAAGTATGCCTCTTCCCTTGTTTTAGAAAGAGTGCATGCAGACCAGGGTGGCTCTGGATAGGTCAAGTGATAAGGGGTCATGGCCCAAAATTACACCAGGCCTGCCTCATTTGTGAATAAACTCAATGCTTTAATTGTCCAACTTAGAAAATTGGTAAATTAGATAATTATTTTATATATATATATATATAACCTTAGAAACCCTATGCAACAGTTCTACTTTGTCCTATACACTGCCACATCTTTATCCCATGGAATGGTGGCTGGTAGGTTTGAACTGCCAATCTTTTGGTTATTGGCCATAGGAATCCTTCTAAAACAGAGAGTTTCTTTATTACTGCATTGCCAAAACATTCAGTGCAAATTTTCCAATGTTACAAATTTTTTAATTTTTCAATGAGGATATGAACATTTTAAACAAGACTAAACAGACGGAGATAATATCCATACACCTACAAGGAAGACCCATCAATACAACTGTTATTCAAATTTATGCACCAATCACCAAAGCCAAAGATGAGGAAATTGAAGAATTTTATCAACTTCTGCAGTCTGAAATTAACCAAACTTGCAATCAAGATGTGTTAATTATCACTGGTGACTGGAATGCAAAAGTTGGAATAAAGAAGAATCACCGGTAGTTGGAAAATTTGGCCTTGGTGAAAGAAATAATGCTGGAACTCGCATGGTAGAATTTTGCAAGACCAACGACTTGTTCATTGCAAACACCTTTT